AGGGGGGGGGGGGGTTTTTTCTGGGTTTGCTTTTTTAGGGGGGGGGGGGTACTCAAGTTTTGCATGACCATGCATCCTCGAGGGGACGGAGCGTATTTCCCACAGGACCGATCACCGATGGCCAAATCGTTCCTTCCTTCCTTCCTTCCTATGGAGCCAAAAGAAGGCTGGGGTACTCTTGTGTAAACGTTTGCGGTAGTCGCTAAACACATAAGCTCGCATCCCTACAATGCCGGGACGGAGAAGCGACACGCCGTCTTTTCGCCCGCCCGGCCTACACGTTTCACAAGGATTAACCAGCAGTGGGTAGCGGGGTGAGTATGTGTGTGACGAATGAGCACGAACTGCGCGGGCACAGGATGGGGGGCCGTCCAGGGCGAGGAAAACAAAAAAATACGAAACTTGGAGCCGACCAGGAGAGCAGACCGCGAAGAGGAACATCAGACCAAATCATATTGCAGAAATAAAAGTTACATTATCTAAATCCCCAAGACAGAGAAATATTTTATAATCATTAAAGATTACAGAGAGAATTTTTACAGACTTTTGCGGGAACATCAACAGAAAAAATACTAAAGAAAGTATAAAGAAGTGCATCGTACTTCTGGGTGACCACGGATTGGAGCTCTTCTGGGTGACCATGGATTGGAGCTCCTACGCAACCGGCAGAACTGCTGCGAGCGCTGACTGGTAAAAACGCGATGAACAAAACAAAACAAAATCGCACGGGAAATAGGAATAGCGGGCGCTATGGCAGCAAACAGGTCGAAGGGGGGGGGGGTCGACCGACCTCACTCGCGGGCCCCCCTTTTTCCCCACAGGCTACGACAAAGGCGAGAGTCAGAGGTGGTCTCGGTCGGTGTGGCAGCCAGTCAACTAAGTCACCTCGGCGATGTCCTTGTTCATCACTGCCTCGAACACGTGCAGCTGGTTGTCCAGCTCGATGCGGTCTTCGGAAAGGGCTTCGTCTCCCTTTTTCAAGCAAAAAGAGCGGCCGGGAGGAGTGGGGAGAAAAAGAGAAAAAAAGCACAAAAGAGAGAGTTACAGCAGTAACCACAGAAGTTGGTATTAATAGCAAGAGAGAGAGAGAGAGAGAGAGAGAGAGAGAGAGAAAGAGAGAGAAGTGGGGGGAAAAAAGACCGAAAACAAAATAACAAAAAGAACGCACGCACGCACACGTAGTTGGTGCCACGGACACAGACGGAAGTAAGGTGGTCAGGTCACAGAGTCGGTCCAGAAAAAAACGACGAAATACAGCCAATTTGGATTGTACCCCCTAAACGGTCCGGGAAAAAACGGCAAAACAAAAACACCCGGCGGCTTCCTGACAAGTGTTCCCCTTTCGTCTTTTCGAAAAAGGGATTTCCACTTTTTCCTGCGCCCGCCGGGATCAGCTATGTACTCTTACGGATGTTTCTGGATACCAAGGGAGATGGTAGAGCGGTAATAACTTCTTCGCTCCTACCTCAAGACGCTGTATGTATAACCACAAAACCACAACGGCAACAACAATAACAACAACAACAATAACCAATAACCAAGGCCGGACACCCACCCACCTCTTCCATGAAAACGTCGGTGGACTGGTTCTTGAGGCGCTCGACGGCATCGAGGATGCCCGTGTAGATCAGATCGGCGCGGATCTCGATCCGCTCCTCTATGTCCATCGCGCTGACAAAAAAGCCAAACACAAAACACAATGAGGGTAGTGCAGCGAGGGGGGAGGGGGGTCTAAGCCGGACGCCAGCGCTATTCAAAGCACAGAATGAGTCGGTGATTAAGTATGCGCCCGCCGAAAACACCGGCGCTATACCGGGCACCGTCGCTTTCAACCTGCACAAAACAGCCTCCCCCCAACTGTTTCTTGAAAACTGCTGTAGCATAGGCGACGACAAACACCTCGCCCCCTTGGGGGGGAAAGGCGTGTTCATCGACAACGACTCCCAAACTTTTCGTCCCCGAGCATACCCATCGAGAACAGAGGGAAGAGAGTGCTGAACTCTTCTCGCATTGAAAATCGAAGGCAAAGTACCGCAGGAGGGGAGGGTAGAGAGAGGGGCTCTTCTGTGTGACCACGGGTTGGAGTAAACGGCACTAGTGCTGTGAGCGCTGATTTGAAGTGAAGACAAAAAAAAACAAAAAAAAAAACATCGAGAGCAGTAGTAAATAGTGACACACACGCACACCCACACGCTCCCTTTTGCTGTACTTAGGTATTACAGCAGGACAAAAACACACGAACACGCCTTCTAGTCACCGGGCTCCCCCAACAGGGGGTGGGGGAGGGCGAGTGACGCTAACCACGTTGGCCAGCGAGCCAGCGCGGTCGGTCCACGCAAACTTGAGGAACACCCACACACAAATCGTCTTTCATCGTTTCCTTCTTCAACCCGAACGTCAGTCTACGCCTCCCCGGCCTCGGATCACGGCCCACTACGAACGTTTTCCGATAACTAGTCACACGGAGGCTGACGTATAATATACATAGCGCGGTCGAAGCCAACAAACACACGAAAAATATTCCTGTTGAGGACAAGCGTCCTCGTCGACAGCCTCAAAGCCCGCACTCTTTCGCTCGAATGACGACCATCAGGAAGAGAATAAGTAAGGACAGCACGCCTCCCGGAGGCAGCCAATCAAGAGCACACACGAAAAACAAGCAGGCCGAGGCAACCGCGACACGAGCAACCACACCCCCCACCTGTGGACTACCAATACCAAAACACACAAACATGCAAACAACGAGCAAACACCACGCCGCGAGCAGCAAGCACGCCTGTTGACAACCACCAATCCAAAGAGCACACACAAAACAACGAAACAACGGGCGAGAACACCACAATCACGACTCAAGCGAGCACATCTGTTGACAACCAATACCAAACACACACACACAAAACAAAAACAAAACAAAACAAAACGCGGGGAAGACCACCACAGCGCCGCGAGTAACCACACCTGTTGACGAGCGTGTTGATGAAGAGCATGACGTCACGCTTGAAGGCGAGGTCCGCCTCGTCCGTCATGAGGGCGTCCAGCAGCGAGTAGAAACGCACCCGTTCCCCCTTGACGAGCTTGAAGTAGTCCATCGCGGCCAAGACCGCGCGGTAGCCCTCGGGTCCGTCCACCATCAGAACCGCCAACAGCTCCAAAGCCTGCTCATCATCATCGTCGTCGTCGGCGTGTTTGTCGTTTTCGTTGGTACATCGACTGTTGTTGTTGTTGTTGTTTTGCTCTTCATGCTTGGTGAAGGTCCCAACTATTACCCATCAAAACACGCCAAATCCTTCCTCCAAGGTGTGTGTGTGGTGCCGCGGTTCGCGGTGTTTTGGGAAGCCAAGGATTGTGGTGGTCGACGGTGGCGTGTTTCGTCTTTGTAATAACTATTTCAATTTTTGGATATATTCAGTTTTGGGGACGCAACACGTATAGATTGTCACGTCTTATTGACTCTCGGCAATTCTGCAACCAGCTCTAGACATTCAGAATTGAGAGCAATTGTATAGTGAAAAAAAAAAAAAACGTCCGCACGACGAGAGGCAGCAGAAAGACAAGCTACACACTCCGCCCGCCCGCCCGCCCAAGACGCGAGTGGCATCCACCATGCCAACCTCTCACGCATACGAAACATACCACCACCATCATCGCCGTCTTGTCGGGCCTCTACACGAAAACGCATCTTTTGTTTTTGTTTTTTTTTGTTTTTTTACATGTTCCTTCGTCGTGGAGTATGTAGTCGAGCTCTCAATTTTTTGCAGGGGGAGTGATATCTTGTGTCACGTCACATACATACGGTTATCCTTGGTGGGGCACCATAATTTAGAATCTTACTCCAGCAGGCGGCAGGCGGCAGGCGGCAGGCCGCCGCCGCCGCCGCCGCCAAGGCGTGTACGATGAGAAGGGGGAAAGGCACGCACCTGTGTACAGATGAAGACGTCCTCGGAGCCGAAGTTAAGCGCTAGGATCCCCACCACCTCCGGTCTCGCCGCCAGGAAGTCAATGCCCAGCTGGTTGTTCAGGGACGCCTTCAGGCACTTGAGCAGCTCCACTTGCAGCTGGGGGGGGAGGGGGAGGGGGAACACGTGGAATAGAGAGGGAGGGAGGGTTAGAGGCGACACTCCACATCTTGATAAATAATGCGCGCGATTGAGTCCTCTCCTCTTCATCGTACTGACCCCGTGCACTGGGCGGCAGCACTTGCAATCCTCTTGTGGACATCACAACCAATTCCATCTCCTTCGAACAAAAAATCGTACTCTGCGTGACCCCGGACCGAAGCTGTTCGGACGGAGAGGTAAGACCGCTCAACATTCGCGGTACAATACCACAAGCGACGATCACGGTTCAAATGGATTTAAGAAGAAAAAAAAAAATGTTGGTGCCAACACCCACCACCTACAACCTCTTTCCTCTGCGGATGTCCCCACACCACCTGGACACGCTTGACCGACCTCTCTCCCATTCCCCCTGCCCACGTCACCCGGCCAGCACTGCCCCCAACCTTGTCTCAAACTACGAAGCGGTCGAGGCTCAAGCCGAAAAAAAACACTTTCCGCTCGCAGCAGACCGCCCTCGACCAAGCCCGCCGCGGCGGCTCGCGCCTCTCACCCCAACCAATCTGCCTACTCTGTACCGCCTCAGCTTTGCCCCGGCCGCCCTTACCTGAACATCCCGGTCGGTCTTGTCTTCTATCACCTCAACGTCGCTGAGGTTCATCACCAGCGCGGTCAGCCCGCCTGCCTCGTAAAACTCAACCAGCCAGTGTTTGCTGGCCCCTCGCAGGGTCAACTGCAACAGGACAGCAGGGGGGCGGGGGGGGGGGGGGGGGGGGGGGGGGGGCCCCCCCCCCTTTAAGAAAAAA